TGTTAGTGTTTGAACTAGTAAAACTAAATGATCACTAGGGTATGGCTACATACAATAGACCATACACATTAAATTAATTTTTAACATTCAGATTTTAAAATAATTATTTTATGTTTAAGCAAAGCTGACTATGACTTTTAAAACAGAAGACGAGAAGAGCAGAATTAGTAGGTTAATGTTAAACAGTGGGTTATAATGATAGACTTACTTGGTTTAACACAAAAGGAGTTTTGCGTACAAAAATTTCCAAAACATCAGGACTTCTTTGAGTGGAGATTTGGATATTGAGGGCCTGATTTACATAGCACCATTTAAGAGAATTTTGCTTTTAAACTGATTCTTCTCAGAAGAAATCCAGACATGATTTTTTTAGGTCTGTGTATTAAAAAAAAAAAAAAAAAAAAGGTTTTCTAGTTCCAGCCTTTTCACATTTGAAAAATGTGGTTGTAGGGAGGAATTATGTAATTTATAGCAATACCACTGAACAAGTTCTTCACATTGGTATGTCGTTTAAGCTATATTTATGCCGCTTCCAATGAAAAGGTAAGCTTAAGAAAATTTACTTGATGAAAAAAAACAAGGAAAGTTCCCAACACCTAATGTTAGAGTCTTTATGAGATGTGTCCTTGACATGAGTGTTTTTCCTCAGATATATTAGCCCACAAAATGGTAAGTAGTTTTGTCTACTGTCCAGGAAGAAAAAAAAAATCGACTTGAGTATTTTTATTGTTTTCCAATAGAAGTAGCTTTAAAAAATCAGCAATCCAAATTTTCAAAAGAATATAACTTTTAGGAAAAAAATATGTCTGCTGGTGCCATTTTAATTCGCTTGACCAAAAGGACAGAAAAATTGTATCTATTTGTCTACTTATGGTTAAATGAAAACCCCATCTGCAGAAATTATGACCCTATATTGCTATATCATTAGCTTGTTCTTATACTCAACCCTGGGTCCATATATGAAATTCATCTAAAGCCAGGCCTTGCAAAAAAAAAAAAAAAAAAAAAAAAAACCTCAGCAATCAAGTCCCCCAATCAAATCAATGTAGGAAACTTACATATAAAAAAATCTTCAAGGATTAGCATCATGAATATAAAATGCCTGTATATCTACTTTTATATGATTTGAGTTCATAATTGCAAGGTATGCAAAACTCTTTTGTGTATTTTGCTGTTAGACTTTTCTTAGGAAATGTGAAACACCTTCACCCAATCACAAACCATATACATTGTTCCATTGTCTCTTTTACACTGAGTCTCCTACTGAATCCAAATCATCCGAAGAGATGGGGCGATACAGGTCCTGTAAGATGAAGGGCGGTACAGATTTGTTTACTCGGCTTTCTTGGGTGCCCTGTGGCTCTCTTAGGAATGGAGCAACAGTGAATGAGCATCCTTGGTTTCTAATGTCATCAGACCCTTTAGAGTCTCCAAATTTGGGTCAGAGGAAAGGTAATAACTGAGAAACCATTTAAACAGACATAAATGGTGCTCATTTTGCCTTATTGGCTTGAACTGCTTCCGAGCTATTGCCTTCTGTGCCCTATTGAGTTTTATAACCCCTGAGAGCTGTCCATGCCAACTCCACTACTACGTGTCTAGGCAATTCTTCCTTGAACTTTTCCTTCCTTGAACATTTCCTTCCTTCCTTGAAGAGGAACGTGCTTACCTCACAAAATAATGTGTCAGGAAGCCCAGAGGGCATCCAGCAAATTCTGGTCACAGGGCAGTAACCCAATCCAAGTGTTGCGTTTGCATAGCACATTAACCTGATAAAAACTGCCTCTTCAAAATTTTATATTTGGAAGACAGAAAATAGGCAAGCTGACCTCCCCTTCCCTTCCCAATGTTCTTCCGGTTCTCCCACCACTCACCAATCACCTCCTTTTTTTCCTCCCTCCACCCCTTTCTGCTAGGAGATCTCTCAGTTGGTAGCCAGGCAACCAGCTCAGATCTGCAGACGGTCTAGAATCCTGGCTTCTTTTCTATTTTGTACCACCTACTCCTCACATCATCTGACTGATAGATAATCTACACAAGTCAGCCATGTGGGAGTATAATGGGGAGCTTCATTCAACCTACACACCACAACACATTTCTTCCTGATGTATTAAGAAATAAGACCTCAAAAAGTTCATGGATGAAAAAGATCCTCTAAGATCTGCTTCTGTGACCAGTTAAATGCTTCTAGACAGCAATTTAAATAACAGTGTTGTGGAAAAATAGGGAGGTTGTTTGGTACATTGCCACCAATGCTTTTATGAAGAAAAATATCTGGCCTGCAGACTCTTACTGTATATGACTATTCTAAAATACCAAAAGCTGTAACATAAAAATATGATTTTGAAGGAAGGAAAAAGGCTAATTAAATCATCATAATTAACATAAATAAAAATATAGATTTTCTTAATTGTGAAGAAAGTGGTCAAATGTCTTGCTATTCCTCTAAAAATTAAAAAAAAAAAGTTCTTATTTTTTAAAACGAGGTAGGCAGTGTAAATGTGTGTGTGTGTGTGTTGGGGGGCACAGCCAACTCATTTTCCTGGCCACGTTGCTAGGCAACACAGAAGGAAAAATAGAACTAGCTACTGTTTTCCAATTTGCAATAAAAAGAGTTAATTTATTCTTTGAAGTCTCTTCTTTTAGCACTTGCCATCTTTCACTTATTTCAGTATTTCCTGCATAGAAGTATATCCAACCATTTGAGAAGAACATTAACCAAATTTGAAACAGGATCAGTTTTTAGGGATATTCTGGGCCCATTTTAACTGGGAGGGGTTATTTGATGCAGTTGCCTCCACACCAAGATGAAAGCTTCTCTCGCTAAAGCAGCTGGGAATGTCTCTGTGCATTGACATGGTACATAGATGGAGGATGTTCATTTACGGCCTAAATTTAAAAGCCTGGAAACTGAACCATCTCTGAGTTATCCAGTGCTCTGTTTACAACATGTGCTTAATAAATGTTTTCAGATGACGATAAACCCTTTGTCTCCCTGAAACAAATGGGATTATTTTTCCCTCTCAAGTAGATGCTTGCATTGGTAGTTTAGATGACACAGTGAAGAATCTACAAGAGAACCACCCCTTATAATCATTTCCCAAGTGCTGGCAATGTTAATTATAGAAGCCATTGGCCACACAGCTGCTAGTCACTGGATAGAAATTTTCTGCCTCATTTGGACAAAATCATAGTGATGCCAAGAGTACAGAGGACAGAAGAAGCAAACTCTAGCCTCATTCTGCCAACACAAGGACAGTTGGGCAAAACACTTTATATCCCCACAATGGAGGTCTCCACAATAAGCAAGCAGGGAGAGAAGCTCAAATCTATGGCAGGGACTCAGTCACCATAATTTAGTCTCAGCAACTAAGCATGAGCTTAATCCTGAATCTGAGTTTAATTTGCTCAAAGGATGGACAGGGATTACTATGCCAGATGTACTAAAGTATATACGTCAAAAGAGAGAATATTCTCGGAAAGAGCACTATCTGTGCTATATATGGCTGCCCCCATAGGAGGGGGCCTTGCTGGGTGGCATTTACTAGAAAAGAATCACCCTCCTCCCCCTTCCACCACGCAAGGATAGACGCTTAGGGGACTCCATAAATTCAGCCAATTCCTCTTTTAGTAGTTCACTAATGATTCCTGTACTTTAAAATGCCAAATTAGACGGTGGCCAACAAGAAACCCATAGTGAAAACATTCAGATGGAATAGGACTATTGGGTTTTCTATCTGCAAAGAGTTTTTTTCCAACTGAGACTCAGAGAGGGTAACAGACTTATCGAAGATAACCCAGCCATTTAGCAGAGGAGCCGGTGCCAAAGCTCAGGCCTCATCAAATAATCTAAACACGCTACACGTGGTGCCAGGAGGCTCTGTGGAGAAAGACAGCCAACCTGACACTGGTGGGCCAGGCGCCAAAGGGAACGGGGTCCGACGGAGTCCCCTGCCCCCCGCTTTTGGACAGCGGCACATGGACGCAATCTTGCAGGGGGCTTGATGGGAAGAGCTTCCATCTTGGATGCAGTTTAAAGTTATGGAACTTAGAAGTTTCATTTTAAAGCACATAATAAAAGAAAACAAACTAAGAATCCAGTCTCTGAGTTCAGAAGCCTCCAAGGAGCCCTTCCTTATTAAGATGTTCGGTGAGCACCATCATAAAGCCTCCCAGGAGCACATACTCCTCTCCACCACGCTTGTGAAATCCAGACACTGAAAGGCCCTCCCTTCCCTCTTCTGCACCTTCCTCTCCTCCCCTTCCCACCCCTTTTATTACTGCCATGGTATTACTGGGAAAGACCGAGAGTACAGGCTGGGAGGGGATAAGAACAGGAGTTCTTTCCCATCCCTAGACATGGAGAAACTAACACTGTTTACAGTAACTTTCTGACTTTGGTCTCCAAGCTCAGTCAACTTCTCTAGTATTACACAAGAAGCTAAAAAACAAACAAAAAAACACAAAGCAAGTAGTGATGAAAGAGAAGGTGCTCGATGTGGGTTTCACTCACAAAAATACATGTCATCTGTACCCATTCCCTGTGCCACGGACCCTAAGCTGCTCCGGACCACCATTCTGTGCCAGAAAGCAATTCCCCACCATAACCCCCTTCTCCGAAGTGGCACTTTTTTTCCTTTTCCTTCTTAAGGAAGGCTGATGGTCAGCGATGAGGTCTAATGTAACTCATCGCAACTAAGCTTGCAAACTAGTGCCAATAAAGTCTTTGCCCATTTAGGACTAAAAGAGGTGGGGTATTTAAAAGTGAGGCAGCAACTGTTGATTCTTCTCAGAGTTAAGCTATGGACACATTCAGAGAAAATAAAAACCCCGAGCTCTGGCTAAGAGAAACCAGTCACCATAGGTGACCACCACGGTCACCGCCCGCCCTCACCTGGTTATTACTTAGAGACAAGCAGTGCTCCTGGGAGCTGGTACCTGTGTCATTCTGCACGGAAGCTCAGGCAGGTCTTAAACAAGGAGCTTGCTTAGTTCCTTACCCTCTGCTTCCGCAGGCTTCCTGGGCTGGTGGGTGATGGGCTTGGCGACTTGCCCGAGCGTGGAGTAGACAGCTGACTACCAGGGGTTCCATTAACTGGAAGCAAAGAATCACACAGAGGAAAAAATGGCTTGTTAAAAAAATTTTCATGACAAATCGTCTTCTCCAAGAAACAAGCAATTATAGAGGGACGTTCGCTAAAATTCCAGACACCTTTCTATCTGTAGTCTTGCAAAACAGCTTCGGGGAATAACCTTCTTCAGAAATTCACAGTTTTGCTAATCCGTGCTACATATAGCATCAGGCAACACAAAAATGCTTTAAAATGTACTTTGGACAACTTTCCTGATGAATTTATTAACAGTGCCTTTAACTGTGCCGATAGATTTTAGCCATGTGGTTAAGGTCCTGAGACATTTTCAATGGGATTCGTCCTTAATTCTGTAGTTTAGCTTCCCAGCACCACCCAGTAGGAGTAAATATCAGCACAATTCACAAGTGATTTTCCCAGTGCCTTGTTAAAAAAGACCTCCATCTTTTTACAGTTAAGAACTCACTTCTAGAAGCTCCTGTATCCACTTGTGCCCTATGTATCCCTCTGGCCTAACTCTGAAGGACCTGCCTTCAACGGGACAAACTAATTGGCACAGACACTCAGGAACTCCTTAGTCTGTCTTCATTGCTACTGAAAAGAAAAGCTGCTTTCTGATAGGTTTAAATCACTGGAATTCTCCCGGACTCTCAAGACTTTTATACAGCATGATCGCTAAATGCAATCAAAGCCACAGAACTCAAGTACAAGCAATTCTTTTCTCTGAGTCACATCACCTCTAGGAACTGATAACACACTCTAGAGACGTGACTTTATAAAGATATATAAGGTTGCCACTCTATCAGCCATAAACAGGACAACATTTTCACATGTTTCATATCCACAGTCAATGAAGGAGAATTAGCCACGAGATACACACACATTCTTGAGGGCGCACGAGAAACATTTTCCATGAAGGAGAGCAATAATGCATTGAACTTACCTTCTATGAGTTCTAACATGGACACAGTCTTAGTGTTTAACCTGGCAAGAGCAAGAGGCGAAGTCCCCTCTCAGCACTAAGCCGAGCACCCGCGGAACTGGGAAGCAGTTGGATTAGTTAAGGCTAAGGCTGCTCCCAGAGCAGGCTGAATGAGATGCAGGATTCATCAGCAGATGCCTTTTCTGCGTAAGGCTGACGTCTTCTAAGCAGCAGTGGGAGGTGCGGGTTCTGTCTTAGGCTACATCAAAGGTGTCAATTAAGCCTCATGCCAAAGCAGAGGCACGGCAGCCCCCACCCCCGACACCACTGACTCCCGGAAGCCCAAGCCCTCTCCTACTTTGCTCTGAATCATAATGAAGTGCCTGGGGGGCAAGAGGCCCAATGACTCATCCGAGTATCAAAATGACAATAATTTCTAAAACCTGGTGACTACCTGGGTAATAAGTACACCCTCACAAAATTTAGTGGCCTGGTACAATGTTGATTGGGTTTTCGCAAACAACGTTGGCACAAAAACTTAGGAGTGCCCAAGAGAGTGGGAAGCTCCTTGTTTTGTCATCTTCTCTAAAGACCTTTTAAAAAATGTCACATAACCCATGCTGCACTCATGTGTCGTTTTGCCTTTGAAATGTATTTAGCGACGCCTTCGAAACAACAACAAACAACAGTGGGGGGGGGTGCAGATTAAAGTAGGAAGCGCTGAGAAGGCTTTAATTTGCTTGCATTCTACAGTCCTGTCTTTGTTGAAAGAACAGGATACTCAAGGCCTTTTCATACTGGACTTCCTCCAGCCTTTGGCCTCTATTAGGGGTAGGCTCTGACACAGGCAAGAACTGAGGAACTGTGGGCCGAGGCAGAATCTACAACTAACAAGGCAAGAGATCCCTCCAAGAAAGACAGGTTTTATGAAAATCACATTTTCTTTGTCTACTTCTCCACTTTACACATACAGGCTACCCAGACTGGGGAAAAAAAGAGTAAATGGGAAGCAGGCAGAGTATTAACATTTTTTACTTTTGATTCACTAAATTTATAAAGCTATCGGAAAACGAAGAAAAAAAGAGAAAGTGGACTCCAGGATGACAGCCTTAGCCTTTTCCAAAAGCAAAACAAAACTACAACATGATTGCATTTGGTAAGTACCCGTTCTGTGTGCATCTCAGTTTATCAAAGACTTATTTTCTATGCACCAGTTAATGCACTGAGTTAAACCTTTTACAAGTACACTTATAAGCATATATGTATACATTAGCTCATTTAACACAATTACTATGAGGCAGGCAGTATTCTTTTACAGAAGAGGAAACTGAGGCATAAAATGATAAGCAACTTGACCAGCAAAGATGGGGACAGAGCCCCAAACCTAACCAAGACAACCCAGAATCTGCACTCTTCACCACCACATTCTGATAGGTTTAATCACTGGAATTCTCCTGGACTCCAGTGTGTTAGCCTGCTAGGGTGTTAGCCTGCTAGCCTGCAGGGAAATCAGATAACTAAGCTAGTAATCACAATAAAGTATTTTGAGGAGGGAGGTTTTTGGTGTTGCCTCTGAAATCCTAACATACTATGGGGTCAAAGTCACCCTACACCCTATAGAGAGGGTAAGGAAACCCAACCTAAGTATTAGTAGGATTTTGCAGGTGAAAAGTAGGTAGGGCGCAATGAAGGAAAGTGTTCTAAAGGCCCGGGGGTGGGGGGCGGAGGGGGGCACCTGTTTTGTGGCTGGGCCTGGAGGAGGGAGCAATGTGGTTCATTGAAAAGACCTAAAGAAATTGGCCAGGCAGGTAAATGCAGCTGGAGGGAAATAACCTTACAAATGAAGGTGGAGGAGTTGGTAGGGATCCCGTAATGCAGGGCTTTAAAATTCATGTTAAGGAGTTTGATTTTCATCCAAAGGGCAATGACACACTCTTGAATGATTTTAAGCAGGAGCCAGGCAATCAGATTTGTATTTTTAAAAGCGCTCAGAGCTCTTGCCTGTCAAGAATGGATTAGGGGAGCATAATAACGGGCTCGGGGATATCCCTAAGGAGAATGTCTAGGCAGGAGGGAGTATGGCATGTTTAAGTGTCCTATGCTCAGAGGGATGGTGTGGCTGGGTGGATGGTGGTGCCGTGGGGGCAGAGGTAAATGGAGACATTCAGGAGAGATTTCAGAGATTCAAAACTCTAGGACATGGTAACTGATTGGTTGAAGAAGATTGAGGCAAGAAGAGAGGGAGTAAATTTGGAAGGACACAGAGAATCTGGACATGTCAGACTGAAAAAACTTAGGTGACATCAATTGTGCAGTGTAGGTTGGACTGAACTTTTCCTGTTTTCGATGAAGTAACTTGCCCAAGATGAGCAGCTGGAAAGATCTCATTTATGTCTGCTCAAAGAACTGCACACTTTTCCCATGAGTGGCCTGTCCTGACATGTCAGGACGTGTCTAGAACCTTTGTCCCCCATCTTTGGGGCTAAGGGCTTCTGGGGTTCCTTCTCTATCCCTGGGGCGCCTCCTTCATCTAAAGCCCTTGGACTCAGGGCTTCTCCTTCTGTTGCTGTCTCTCCAGACAGATGAAGCTCAAGTGCCAAACAAGCCATTCACAATCAAACAGTTTTGGAACACAACTTGTTTCAAAGTCGGAAACGGCCTGTATTCTTAGGGTCAGAGTTTCTATTCAGACTCTTCCTCTTGGCCACCTAAAAAGCATTAGCAACCTCTTAAAATGGTTCTTGACATCCAGACAATACCACACACCTTACTGTTGAATCACTGCTGGAATACATAATTTTATTTCATCAGTAAGGCTGCTACAAGTTTTGAGTTCAGTTGTTTTTTTTCTCCTGTGCTACCCAAAGTCTCTGGATGCCAACAGAGATGGCTTTGTCACCTATTTAGTAGAACTTATTAAAATTCCAGTAACCAATGGCATTACTTTACAGAGTAAAGTATTCCTGTATTAAAGGAGTCTCTATTTCGAAGGGGAAAAATTCAACTTGGTATGGTTGTTTTTAAGTGGCCAAGCAGGTCTAAGGATTCATTATTTCAATCTGACAGTCACTCCATCTGAATTCCTAAGTACTCAGAAGGTCCCCTGCCTTGTACCATCAGGGTTCCCTTTATTCAGAACTATCTGGGTTCATTTTCCTTTAATCCTCTATCCCTGGGTCTTCCTGAATGAGAAGGGCTAAACTCTAGGCTGGGTTATTCACAGATCCCATGATGATCAATCACATAACTGGCCACCAAAGAGCTCTGTGGAGCTGACTTTACCAGCCCTAGTTTGTGCCCTGCCTTTTGTCCAACTGGGCCATCAACCTGAGCCCATCAGGGATACAACACCATGAATTGGTCAAAGGACGTTACTCCTCACGAAGCAACCAGCCTCACCCTTTCCTTTATCATTTCAGATAGATAACCCTACTCTACAGGGCCCTATAATCAGTCAGTCAGCACACACAGTGTGCACCACACACTTACTATGTGTCGGACTCTGTCTATTGGGCCCTGTCTCCCAAAACTTACAAGTGAATATGAAAGTTACTAAAAAAAAACTCTAGAATTCGGAAATACGTGGCTTATTTTTACTAATTCATTACTCCTTTTAAATGACTATACGCATGTGTATATTAATTTGGAATGCTTTTGGGAACTTAAAGGGTTTCTTCTCTTTACAGTTTCATTCTTAGAGGTCTCAGACCACATGTGGAAGCTAAATGTGTAAATGTCTCAAACTGGTCCTGAAATCAGAGCAATCTCCAAGTAAGATTATCTAATCACAAGGTAACTTTTAATTTTTTTAAATTTAATTTCATTTTTATTTTTTTAAAGATTTTATTTATTTCTCAGAGAAAAAGAGAGAGCACACACAAGCAGGGGGAGAGGGAGAAGCAGGCTCCCCGCTGAGCAAGGAGCCAAATGTGGGACTCGATCCCAGGACCCTGGGGTCATGACCTGAGCAGAAGGCAGATGCTTAATGGCTGAGCCCCCCAGGCGCCCCCAAGGTAACTTTTTAGACATGAACATCTACCTTGTCCTTTCCCTATCTCCTTTCTGCATGTAAGGTGGCTCGTG